CCTCTCTAAAACCTTAGTGGCACCTCGTAAATCCTGGCTCCCCATGACCAGATAACAACCCTCTCTGAAACCTCAGTGGCACCTTATAAATTTTGATCTTGGGATCTAAATTTTTTCCCTACCTTGAAATGTTAAGCCATGTAGATCATTAACCTACTATATGCCTTTGTATTATGCTTGTCGAAATCCTCTTATCTGTAAGTTAACAACCCCTCTTTGCAACTTTTTGTGCTATAAAACTATGTTCCTAGAGAGCTGGGGTACTGATTTCTAGTCCAGGGTTTTGGGAGAGACAGTCCTGGATAGCTACTGTGTACACAAATATATGCTTTCTTTAAATTGATTCAAAATTGGAGTCAGTGGTCTTTTCTTTCCATCCTGGTTTAATACTGTTGTGGGGAACAACCATATGTGTTTTAGGTAAAGTAATCTGCCCTCAATAAAAATCTATGACTATTAAATTTTTAGAAATGTGCTTTAATTTCATGTTCATCACAGGGCTTTCCTACACTGCATAAATTTCCACAAACTTGATTTCTGTACAGTGTGATTCTCATAATTGCTATCTGTTAAGCTGTACTTATTAGCTAGTTTGTATTCTTTAGACAGAAATATCTTTAACTCCATAGTAATCTAGTGCTTTAAATTAAGAACAAAGGAATTATATGAATGTTGTTAGGCAAGCTTTTTATTTTCAGTCCTGTAAGATTAATGGCTCTGTTGACAGGGAAGTATGCCAGTAATACAGAAGAGAAAGGAAGCTTTTTTAAACAAAATTCATATACACACAAACACACGCATGCACTCATGTATTTATTAGCTCATTTGCTTTCTTCAAACTATGTTTTCCAAGTTTAGGCTGTATTTCCCAGAGCTATAGAACACAGTTTATTTTGTGTTTGTTACCTATACCCATTATTGTTTGTGCTTTCTATTTTCAATGCAACTACTTGGTCAATAAAATCTGTATACCTTTTCCAGGAAAATCCTGATGTATGTCGATAATGGATAATTGTGAAAGCCCTTTCTAAATACTGATTTTTAATATACTGACATTTAATACACACACATATACACATACCTTCATACATATTTATAAAACCTCTAATTTGGAGTGTTCTATATTACCTTGATGCCAAATATATAGGCAGAGTCTCAGTTTTTCATAGGTGGTTTCTATATTCTATTCATTTTGATTTTAAAACCTGGCTCCCAGAAAGTGCTTAGTAGATTATTCTATGTAGAAAAACATTTCTTCCTCCCAATTCCTGATTTGAATTAATTACTGCGTTTGCTTGTAGTTATAGTAATAATGCTTCTGAAGACATAGGCTCCCAGGAACTCTTGAATACCCTCTACAAAACACTCTTGCTTTGGGACCTATAGTATGGAGAATGCCATGTTGGCTACAAGATTCTCCATGGCTGGCTTCTTATGCTTGTCACCTGCTTTGATTTCTGATACACTAAATTTATCAGCTACATGCCACATTATCATCATCATTTGCCCTTTGAGTTATTTTTTATTTTAAAGAGAGTAACTATAGTAACTTACTCAGAACATCTGGGAGTAAACATTTGGAGAGTCTAACATCCTGGGAAGCAAATCATTATAGACCTTTTTTCACTGCTTTAGAACATTAA